GTTTTCCTTCCCATGTTCTTGGGTCCTCTCCATATTGTTGCAGGTAAAACCATCAGGTACCACTATCTCCTCCCTCTTCCTTAAAAGGATGCCTGCTGTTACCAGCCCAGGGGAATGGAGGGCTTCCATTGGAGATAGAAGGCAGGAAGGAATTATCAATGTGGATGCCCATCCCTAGGAATGTTCAAGGCCAGGGTGAATGGGATTTTGAGCAACCTGGTCTAGTGGAAGGTGTCCCAGTCCATAGCAGGGGACTTCGAATGAGATGAGCTTTAAGATCCCTTCCAACCCAAACCTTTCTATGCCTGATTCTGTGAAAGGAGGGAGATGTAGAAAAATGTTTCTGCCAGTTTGACTCTCCAAGGAAAAAGGCCAAAGGTGCAGTTATGAACAGTTCCCAACAGATGGCTCCCGAAATACAGAGGGAATGGCAGTGCTGAGTGCTTGTATCAGATTTGCCTCACAAATGGAGATTCTGCTGTACCAATGGACCCACAGACCAGGGCCAATTGTGTGAGGTTCAACCAGGCCAAGTGCTGGGTCCTGCCCTTGGGTCACAGCAACCCCCTGCAGCTCCAGGCTGGGACAGCATGGCTGGAAAGCTGCTGAATGGGAAAGGACCTGGGGGTGCTGGTCAGCAGTGGCTGAACATGAACTGGAATGTGCCCAGGTGGCCAAGAAGGCCAAGGACATCCTGAATGTATCAGCAGTGGTGTGGCCAGCAGGACCAGGGCAGTGACTGCCCCTCTGTGCTGGGAGCTGGTGAGGCCACACTCCAAGTACTGTGTCCAGTTCTGGGGTCCTCAGAAAAAGACACTGAGATGCTGGATTGAGTCCAGAGAAGGGCAGTGGAGCTGGGAAAGGGTCTGGAGCACAAGGCCTGTGAGGAGCAGTTGAGGGAGATGGAGGTCTTTATCCTGGAGGAAAACAGGCTCAGGGGGGACTTGATCACTCTCTACAGTGACCTGAAAGGAGGGTATAGTCAGTCTCTTCTCCCAAGTAGCAAATGACAGGACAAGAGGAAATGGCCTCAAGTTGTGCTAGTGGAGGTTTAAGTTGGATATTAGGATAAGTTTCTTCATGGAAGGAGTTGTCAAGTATTGAAGCAGGCTGCCATGGCCATTGTGCATCCCTGGGGGTATTCAAAAGATGTGTATCATCAAATCACAGAATGGTTAGGTTGGAAAAGATTTCTAAAATCACTAAGTCAAATAATTAACCCAACACTCCCAAGTTCACCACCAAACCATGTTTTTAAGCACCAGACATGTGCTTAAGACATCTTGGAAACTTTCAGGAACGGTGTAGATGTGGCACTTGGAGACACCTGTAAGCCACTATTGCAAAGAACAACTCACCCAGGCCCATGGAGGATCAATGTCACCACAGGGGACACACACCAAGCAAAGTGCTCCTTCAAGCATGTGGACAGGAACTTTGATTACAAGCAAAACAACTTTGTGACCAGAACAAACAGCTTGTAACAAACCTGGTCTAACAGATGTATTGTTACTCCATCCTCTGGGCACCAGATAGGGCCCTTGAAGTTTCACTAAGTGCCATGCAGCCACTCACTTATTCTCCCCACAGTTTTTTGCACTGGGCATGGTGTTCTATGGCATGCAATATCCATTTGGGTCAGCTCTCCTGGCCATGCTCCCTCCTGGTTTTTTGGGCACCTGCTCCTGGCAGAGCATGGGAAACTGGCCAGTGCTTGAGTCAGGGTAAGCACTGCAGAGCAACAGCTGAAACATCAGTGTGTTATCAACATCATTCTCAGCTGAATCAAAATCACAACACTGAACCAGCTACTGGGGAGAAAATGAACTCTATTCCAGATGAAACCGCCACTTATTCCATACCTTTTACATCATGCCAGGTCCCCTGCTTTCCAATACCCCGTCACCCTTCCTGTCTTCTGATACCAGTCTTTTGAACCCTTCCAGTGCCTATAAGGATGGGGAGAGGTTTTTGACAAGAGCATATAGGGACAGGACAAAGAGTAATGCCTTCAAAGTGAGAGAGAGGGGTTTAAGATTGGATGTCAGGAAGAAATTCTTTACTGTCAGGGTGTGAAGCACTGGCAGAGGTTGCTCAGAAAATCTGTGGATGCCCCATCCCTGGAAGTGTTCAAGGCCAGGTTTGATGGGTCTTTGAGCAACCTGGTCTAGTGGAAGGTGTCCCTGCCCACAGCATGGGGTTGGAATGAGGTGAGCTTTAAGGTCCTTTCCAACCCAAATCATTATTTGATTCTGTGATTACATCATTATCCCTATCTATGGACCACCCCTATAAAAGTGCCTTGAGGTTGTTTAGGTCATGACCTTGGGCTTCATCTGTCCTAGGAGTCTTTCAGGACAGGAAAGATGGTGTGTGGTGGTGTCACATGTAGAAATCACTTCTGATTCTATCACTGCTGGGCTTGGCTGCTTTCACCACAGCTCATCCTTCATTAACATGGCTACCAAAGGAGAGGTGGGCTCAGATCCCCAAATTCAGAGAGGCAAGGTACCCAGTGATGGTGATGGACATATTAGTGGCCATGGAAGGTATATGCAGTGCTATGTAGCAATTAACATAACTCAGTTTAAATTATTGACTATTCTCACCCAAAATCAAATCGTCTTGAGCCACACACTGGATCTGAGAGATGGGCACAATGCCCATCTCCTGTCCCTGTGCACAGCTCCTGATATTTGCACAGGGATGTGCAAACATCCCTGGCATCAGCAGGACTTTCCATGGGCGCCAGTAATGCCTCTGGCTCTCACCCCGCCCCAAGGCCCTTCTGAGAAGAGATGGGCACTGCTCTCTCCAGCCTCCCCCTGCAGCCCCTCACTGACCACCCCACTGCCCATGTTAGCCACATCCCAGAGCCCTGAGGGGACAGAGCCCCTCACCAGCGCTGCCCCCTATCCTTGGCAATGTGGTCAGGCTACTGAGGCCATGCATGAAAGGAGCAGCCATTCTGTAACCAACCAGGTCATGTATTCATTCCCCTGCCCTCATTATCAGGTCCTGAAGGTCCTGTGCAACAAGGACCAAAACAAACAGATTTCTTCTTCCTCTCCCTGCCAGCCTCAAGGGCATCTGGCCAGGGTGGTGGTGGCAATGACCCTGGCACAGAGCACTCTCCCTGCTGTTTGCTGGAGTCCAGCCTTGCAACTCCCATCACAACACACCCTGAAAAAGTGTATTTTTCAAAATACTTCTTTATTTCTCTCAATACTGACATTACAAAAAAAAAAAAAAAAAAAAAAAAAAAAAAAAAAAAAAAAGAAAAAAAAAAAGAAGAAAAAAAAAAAGAAAATTACAAAAAACCCCACTATAAAACATTCAGGTCTCGTTGAAACCGAGAAAAACAAATCAGCTTGCATCTGCGTGCTGGCCTGTCTTCTCGCTCACAGCGTCCACCACGTTTCTCCACCACATTTCTCCACATTGAACTCCACAGGGACCAGTGGCCACCCCTCGCTGGCCAAAGCAGGTGATTGATTCAGCAGCATCTCACAGGTCTCCTAGCCCCACAGGTAACACTGTACAGCTGTACCCCCAGCCCCATGAACACCCCATGCACAGCCTCCCCACCCAAGGGACTCCCCGCTTCAAGTCAGTAAACTCTTTTCTTAATGAATTAAAAAAAAAAAAGATTCCTGGGGCAGGGGAGGAATATTTTGGCAGGGGTTTTCTTGGCAGTGCTGCGGTGAAAGAGGAGCTGTACAACCCAGGTCAAATGTGCTTCCAGCTCTGTACCAGCCCTTTCCTGGGAAAAAAAATGGCATGAGGCAGTGTGGGCTGAGAAAGGTAAGAAATATAAAAATTCCCCTGATGGAAATCCAAAGGTTTTAAAAAAATACAGTATTTGAAAATGGAGCCACTAAACAGACTGCCTCATGCACCTCCCAGATCTGCCCTGATGTCCAGAAACACCTCCTGAATGAATTGTCCCTGTAGAAAAATATATACACATGCCTCTCTCCTCTTATTAGAATCCTTAATTTGACCTGAAACACTAGTGAAACCCACAGCTCTGCTCACGCTTGGCTCTGCTTTTGCACCCAGATTAGTGCTACACGCACACACAACCCCAATCCAGGGGTTTGCTGTTCGTGTGGCTGAATCATCCCCCTTTCAAAAAAAGCCTGGGTGCATCAGGCCAGTATCCCCAATACAGGCAGAGAAAAACCTTTACAAAGTTTATCTAATGAGCTCTATATATATGTATTAAAAAATAAAAGCAGCAATGCAAACTCAACACATCTGAAAAAAGAAAGCTCCACCTTGGGCTTTCCCCCCTCCTCCTGCTGGCTGGGCCCTGTGGGCAGTGGGTGCAGGTAAGCGCTGCCCACGGGCACTGGGGACATCCCCGGGCAGGGGCAGGAGGCTGGATGGACCATCCCCATGTGCTCCGTTGTTTGGCACAGCCGAGGCTCAGTGTAGGCTTGGCACAGGAGAGCGGACCACAGTTGGACTTGGTACCGTGGCCCCAGGTGAGGAATTGTCCGGCTACTCGGGGGGCCACCACAGGCAGGAGTGATTGGTACTGTGGTACAGCCGGGACCCCAAACAGCAGCAAGTATCAAAGAGGGGAAGAGAAAAACCAGCAGCGGGGATGCCAGATCCTGCGGAGTCCTATTTACACAGCGCCGGACCCCGACAAGTCCAGCTTCTTGTGGGAAGAGTGGCCTAAAAAGCAGGTGACATAAAAAACCCACAACACAACGCACCTCCCCGGGCAAAGGGCCATGGCTCTCACTCTTGTGAGGCAAAAAAATGGACCTCTGGGGAGAAAGAAAAGGTTTGGCAGTTGGGAGAGCTGTGGCAGACAGGAGTCTCCCCATTGTTGGAGTAAAAACCGGCCAAGAAGGATGGATAGGGGGTGGGTTGGATAGGTTTTTTGGGGGAGAAAAGTAGTGTGAGGGGTTGTTTTTTTCTTGTTTTTTGCATTTAAATGTGCTGTGACACCTTGGCTCTGTGCAGGCCAGGTGCTGTGGCACATGTGTTTGGAGTATTGCTGCTTTGGAGGAGAGTCCCTGGGCTCTAGGAGCATGGGAGGTGCTGCTTGAGGATCTGTCTTGTCTGGGGAGCTATTCTGTCCGGGAAGCGGATTTTGAACTCCACAATCAAGTCTCCTCGCTGGCTGGGGGCCTTGGGGAAGGGCAGCCCCTCCCCACGTAGTCTCTTCACTGTCCCTGGCTTGATGATGTCGTTGCAGGGAAGCGGGATCACCCGTCCATCAATGGTGGGAATGTTCACAGTGCAGCCGCACAAGGCCTGAGGGAGGAAGAGAGAACAGGCAATCAGATGGGGCTGACACCCCAAAGTATCCCAACAGCCACACCCTGTCCCCACACTGGCTGCTGCTCCAGTTGAACTGCCCAGCTCCCTCTGGATGGAGCCCAAGAGCATTGGGTGATGCTCACCAGTGGAAGCACAGCTCTCTGCTGGCACCAGCCAGGTCCAACCACTGTGAACTGGGCTGCAGGAGCCATGCAGGAGAGGGGTTCCCCAGGAAAGGGGTGCCCCAGGTCTCATGGGGGGAAGGACTCCCCTCCCCACATGCTGGGCTGCCCAGAAGGCACCACCAGCAAGTGCCCAGCCACCCACAGCAACAACGCAGGCTAAATTTAGCTCCTTTCCAGCCCTGTCACCCAGCCTCGCAGCCGAAAATCCAGCTGAGATCATGAGATGTTGCCACAGCCCATCAGCTGTCACCCTCCAGAGCACGGCAGCTTTGCCCAGTGCTTGGGGTTATCTATAGCACAGCCCATGTCCCATGTCCCATCCCTGTCACCAACAGCCCCCACAAGGCTATTCCAGCATGGCACAATGGTATGGCAGTGGCACTGAGCTTCCCTGGGAACTGGGGTGCTGGAGGGGCTGGTTCCCATCTCCTATCCCATTGTACAGCCAGGAACCAGTGCAGGGTTGCCACCCCACTCCACCCCAGCCCCCCGCAGCAGCCGCACACCAGCCTGCATTGGCAAGCCACGTGACACAGGAATGCAGCAAGAAAATCCTTGTGTCCTTAAATAACTCAGACAGCTCTGTCGTACATGTGGGCAGGATCGTCTCCAGGCTTTCAGCAAGGGCTGAGCGAGAGGACTGCGGAACGATGCTTCTGGAAGGGGGTGGGGGCTGGGGGGCTGCTGAGCTGCAGCCTCGAGCATGTGGGGGCTGGCACAGATTTGTCCTTCTGAACTGGGTCCTGGGGGTCACAGCCCTCCCAAAACACCCTGCAAGGGGAGTGGAGAAAGATGCAATTGCTGTTTCTGGGGTAGGTGGGGGAACGTTCTGTGCTCCCCTCCCCCGGAAAAGCCTCCAAAAGCAGAGCAGCAACAGGCACCAGGAGAAATATCTCATGCTGGCCATGGCCTCTGAGATGATAGATGGGGCTTCTGCAGCAGAACCAAGGCTTTGAACCAGAGGGTTTGCAGTCGGATCTGTGCCAGAGCTGGTTCAGGGTCTTTGTTGAGTGAAGAACTCTTTTCCATGGCTCATCTACACAGGCCTCCTCCTGGAGAGGGTGTCCTCCAGGGATGAAGTCTTCAGCCTGCAGGAGGATGCCATCACCAATTCTGCGTAAGCAGCAGGTGCTTGGCTGATCTCCAGCAGGTTGAAGGGAAAACAAAGGACAATATTCCCACATCAAGGAGCTTGTGCTGTGCATGGATGTCAAAGCCCTCCTGCTCGCTGGTGCCCAGTGCAGTGTGCCATGGCTGCAGGTAGCCATGTGTGCCAAGAAAGGACACCTCCAGCCGCAAAACAGAAGGGAGAACAAGAAGTCCCTGTGGGAACACGTGGATGAGGAAAGCAGGCAGAGATGTGAGCAGAAGCAGGCGGTAACAGTGAAGGCAGACAGGATCTTAATGTTTCCTTCCCAGAGCCAAGACGCAAGAATCCGAGGCGATCACTCCTCCGCCGTATGTCCCTGTTTTTCACTCGTGCTCAACTTTGCTGGCATTTGGGAAAACGGTTGCTGAAGTAACACCAGTAACAGCGGGAGCTACCCTGCATCCTAGAAAGAGGCTTGGTTTATCCCTGGGGATGAAATCACCCCGGGTTTGAGCACTGTGCTGTACGAGCAGAGCTTTATCTAGGTCACCATTGGGTCCTCCTCCGCTCACGGTGAAGCCGCCGGAGAGGGCGCCGCCACCGGCCGCGTCCCAGCTGGGGTGAGCTGAGGTACAGAAGCTTTGAGGAAGGTGATGCCAGGTAAAGGATGCAAAGTGGGATGGTGCCGAGGGCAGGCATTAGGCAGCAGCCAGGAGGGCAGGACGCCTTGCTGGCACTGCTGCCTCCCGGCAGAGGCAGCTGCTGGTGGAGCTGTGTGTATCTCCTCCCTTGCGCAGCTCCTCGTTGTGGCACGCGCCTCTGATTGTAAGAAGGAAGACAATGAATCCCTGGAAGAGCACTCCTACATCTGTGATTCTGCAGCAGACAGGTGGCAAAATGCCTGCACTGCCCTGGACAGGCACCCAGCAGGGACTCAAGGGCTGGGAGGGCCCTCCAGTACCCATCACCTGCCAGCTTTATTTATGGCACTATGCTCTCTCATGGCAGTGGCAGAGACTCAAACCCAGGCTAGAAGAGGTAGCCTTGCAAGGCAGAAGGTGCAAGGAGAGACCTAAGGCTACAGACAGAGGCTGAGGAGATGGAGAAGCTGTACTCTTGTCACATACTGAGGTGGTAGCATATAGAATTGGAAAGCTCCCAGCATCTGCTTGGAGCACTTAAGGAACTTCTTCTCCTGGAAGACAAACTTAGCAAAGTATCACACTACCCTGGCAAGCAGCAGGCTGGAGATGACAGCCAGACCAGCAACTCCATGAAGGTGCCCAGCATGTTGGGTTTGTGCTGGGGGAGGTCAGAGACCAGAAATTCCAGCTGAAAGAGATAAGGAATTTGCCTGGACCATCACTTTTCTGCTCTGTGTCTGCATTGTTCAAACCTACTGCCAGCATGCAGACCTTGCTCATGGAGCTCAAAAGTGTCCAACCCTTCTGGTGTACTTCTCGAGCCTATTTCTCCAGTTACTGCTCAAAAGTCAACTCCAGGCAGGAGTCCCTGCAGCCTGACCAGTGCACAAACGTGGACTAACATGGTCTGGGCATCAGCACAGCCAGGTCAGGGTTAACTCTACAGATAAAAGGAATGAACAGAAGGAAATATTTGAGATATGGCATGCACTGCTCCATAAATAAGGCAGTCTCTCCTGAGTATTTCTGGATTGGCCAGGAGAACCAGCTACTGCAGGAATAAACCTCTGTACTTTGCACTGCGAAGGAAACTCCTGAGTCTGCAAATTAAGTGGAGCTGAGTTTGCTTCAGGAGTGCCCAGCTCTGCCCAACCCACATGCTTTTTGCCCCCAGTACACCCAGTCACAGACCAAGCTGGGATGCAGAGCCATCACAGAACTCTCCTGACTTCCTGGCACACTTCACAAGATCACGTTTTTCTACCTCAGGTCTGGCCCATTGAGCGTATTTCTATTCAATGCATTTGAGAACATATATCTGCCTTCAGGAAAGAAAAAAAAAATCAGCTCATTAAGAAGACAGACAGCGTCTACCATCTGAAAGGAACAGCAAATGGCAGCTGCCAAAAATGTCAATGTTAAATGCAGCTGCCAGCTGGGATTTATTAAAAGGTAGTTTTACAGCAGCAGTGGCAAACAGCACATCTTGTACTGAGATAATCTTCCCTTTTCTCTCCCACCTTCGTGCAGATTGCTGGATAATCTGATGCATCCATCCAGCCCTGCCACCCAGACCTCCAGGACTGGCTTTGAAATGTTGAGTTTTACTCATTGCCTGGGCATTTAATTTGTTTGGTTGCTATCTAGGAAAGCCAGAATCAAGGAAAACAGCTAAAGCATTGCCCAGGGAGGGCAAGGGATCACTTTCCTCCACGTGATCCTGCTCTCTGCCCATGGGAAGAGGCACCTGGTGCAACCCTAGGCAGTAACTAAGCTGCTACAGGAAAAGTAGGAATCAGACTGATGCCACCCAACCTGGGTTTTCCCTTGTTCCTAGAGAGGATGTGCCTTTCATTCCACACATGAATACCCTATGCTAAAATAGAAAAACCAGGACATATGGAGAATGGAGGAAATGGATAAAATGAGACACCTGAATTGGCTCAAGAAGTGTCATGTGTTCAGCAGAGACTGCAGCGTCAGTGTCCCACACCCAGCATAGAAGTCAAGCACCTCCAAAGCCAAGACCAAGTTGGCCTCTGCAGCTCCTTTCTTGTGACCTACCTGGTCTTTCCTATCCAGAGCAGAAGAAGGACTGCCTCCCATCTTGCCCCCAAAGGCCATGAACCAGTGCCACCTCACATCTCATGGGATTTACTACCCATACCCACCTCTTTAAGACTGATGTTTGCCGTGTAGATCACATTTGTCCCATCCCTCTTGAAGTGTGAGTGAGGCTTGTCCTTGAGGATGAAGACGATGTCTGCAGGGATGTTGTCTGGAGTGGCATCCCCTTCTCTGGGGAATGTGATTTTGGTTCCCTCCTTCCAGCCCCGTTTGATGACAATGTTTAGGATCTTGTCCTCAGTCCGCATGGTCCGGCCATCAGCATTGAGCCTTCTGCGAGTGATCTTCATCCTCTTGGTGGATCCGTGGTAAATCTCTTCCAGGGATACCTTGAGCTCATGGATGACAGGTGGGTCTTGGACCTTCCTCCGCGTGTGCAGAGACTCCTGGTGCCGCCGGTGAACCCCATTAATGCCGTTGAAGCCAAATCGGCCAAAGGCACTGAAAGGGTCATCGTCATCATCCATATCCATGTCTTCCTGGTCAAAGCCATTGAACATCCGAGACCGGCTGCTGGCGAAGAAGATGTCAAAAGGGTTGGAGCCTCCGAAGAAGGATGCGAAGGTGGCATGGGGGTCTCCATGGAAGGTGTAGTGGAAGGTGTTCCCTGAGCCACCTGAAGAGCCACCTCCAGTTTTGAGACCTGGAAGATAAGGGGGAAGAGGAGACATGAATGCTCCCTGTGGGGGAATGCTCTGCAAGGACTGCACTGCCCAGGTGGGAGAATGGCCTCTGCCACATCCTTCCAGCCTCTCCTGAGTGTGCAGATCACCCCTCCAGCCCAACCACTGTGAAGGCACCATTTCCACCCATGACACACAGTCCCACTCCTATGCCCTGCAAGCTCAGAATCCATTCAGGTTTCATTCCCTCTATCCCTAGTGCAGGACCTCTTTGATTCTCTCCATTCTATTCACCTAATTTTAATTTAAAATGTACAGCCCATCTCCATTTTTCCCCATGAGCAGGCTCCTTCCTGTCCCAATAGCCTTGTCTTTGAGACTAGATATTTAGGAAAAATTTCTTCACAGAAAAGTTGGTCAAGCATTGGAATAGGCTGCCTAGGGAAGTGATGGAATCACCATTCTTGGAAGTGTTCAAAAGGTGTGTGGGTGCGGCACTTACGGACATGGGTTAGTGGTCATTAAATGATCTTAGAGATATTTTCCAGCCTCAACGATTCTACAGGCAGGTGAAGGTGAGCAGACCTCCAGGTCAGCATGCAGCTCCCTGCACAGTGGCTGCATAAAACGCCAGGTAAGCTCAAGGTTTGAATCATTTGGCAACCTTTCCCAGGCTGAGCCTGACATCACTGCAACTCATCCCAAGTCCCAAGGAGTCAAGGCACATGACAAATGCCCCCCAAAGAGGTCACACATGCTCTTTAAGGCTATTTTTGATCAGGAGGGTTGGGAAGGGTTAAGCCAAGCCTATCTCAGGGACTATTTTCAGGGCACACCAGTGACAGAGAAGGGCTATTTCTGACAGGCTGTCCTTTGTCCCAACTGTTCACGCGCTTTCCACAGCAGGACAAGTTTGGGGGTCTCTTCTGAGTGCTGAAGTCAGCATTCTGGGTGGGCTGAAGGGGCTTTCCCACTTCACCTTGCTACACAGCATGTAGGACCCTGAAGCTCCTCAAAATGCTGATCTTCATTGCCCCCCAAAAAAGAGAAACAAAATGTTGGGGAAAGTCATGAAACATGAGAGGTTCAACAATGATGGGACACGGGGGAAGATGGTCTTTAACTTGATGGGGTAGTGAGGGAGCTCTTACCCTCTTCCTTAATTCACTCTTATTTTAGATGCCTGCAGGCTACAGGGACTTTGCCAAATCCCCAGTGAACCCCATTCCTAATAGACTGTACACCCAGGAGGTTTCACCTTTAATCCCATGACGCCAGCCTGAGCAGGGTCTGATTTCATTGAGGCCTCCAGGGAAAAGCTGGTTTCTCACTTGAGAGAGTCTCTTCTCATTTTACAGGGCAGCAAATCACTGTGCCTGGTGCATCCATCATAGCCCAGACATAACTAACGGGTCAACAATTAACCCACTGCTGCTTAATCCTGCGGTGGCTTGTGAGAGGATGCACCTGCCAAAGAGAGGAGCTGCCTCTTCCACCCAGCCGTCTGCTCCTGCCAGACCTCCTGCTCTTTTAAGCACCCAAGCCCTGGGCTGATTAATGCAGATGCTATTCGGCACTCTCCTCGAATGGGGTTGCACTCTTCCATCATTGACTAATAAGGCTGCCTGTGTTGAGCGGCTCTCCTCCTCCTCCTCCTCCATGCCAACCACCAGACAACAGCAGCCGCTTGGTTTCAAAACAAGGGCCTATTACTTAAATTGGGAAAAGCTTTGAATCCTGTAGGTCACCCTGTACCAGGGAGGACAGTGGGACCAGTGCCCAAGTGCAGGGGGAATGTGGGCAGAAGCAGTACGTCTCTGCTGTGTTATTTAGGTCATTTAAAGAGCTGCTAACGAATTACCACAGGTATGACCCAGGAGGTGAGCTCCTTCCATCTCTCAGCTGACGCCCACAGTTTTGGGGCAGAGGGCAGGGGGAGCCCAGCCACCCCAGCAAGCAAGGTGAAAAATTGCTGGCCAAGTGAAGCACCCTGGGGAGGAGTGGGATGAGAGGTGATTTCTGACACCTGTGGAGCCTTCACTCTCTCTCTGAGTCTTTGGCAATCAGTCCCATTTCAGGAGTAGGCATGAAACACTGAAACACCCCTCTGTGAAAACCCTCCCTCACCTCTAAAATTGATTGGGACCCCATATCTCTGCCTCCCAGTGGGCAGTGCCTATCCCCTTACCTTCCTCCCCATACTGGTCATACACGGCTCGTTTCTTGGGGTCACTCAGGACATCATAAGCCTCCGCAATCTCCTTGAACTTCTCCTCAGCGTTGGGGTCTTTATTCTTATCAGGGTGATATTTCAGGGCCATTTTCCGATAGGCCTTCTTGATTTCATCTTCGTTTGCGCCACTCTGGATGCCCAAAATCTTGTAATAGTCCTTCCCCATGACGGCGACGCTGCCGGGAGCTGAGTACTTATTCCTAAAAGGAGAAAGACAGCTCTTTGTAAGGTGAATATCACACAGGGGCAGCTGGGGATGGGGCTGGCACACACTTATCGCGGAGACGATGCTCCCTGTGTCCCACGGGCCAGCAGCACCACAGCCAGCTCAAGTCCACGCTTCCCAACAGAGGTCAGAGCCCCTGTGCCAGAATGTATCCCAGCTCTGGTTCTATCCCGCTGAGCCCCACGGCTGGGATGGACAGACTCATCTCTGAGGCTGACAGGGACAGAGAGCTCAAGTCGGGGCACGGTGCTATTATAGGGGCCACGCCACTGCTAACGTCAGGCCAGGACCACGTCCCTGTCCGTCCCCCCTGACTGAGTCAGGAGGGCTGAGCTATGTCCAAATGCAGCTGCCAGCCTGTGTCCGCCCCCTTGCCTGGTTCTCTCCCAGCTGGGGACCTGAGACCGAAGTCGGGGTGATGACAGCAGGTTTTGGAGGTTGAAAGCAGTGGCAGGGACCATGTTGTGCCTTCACCTTAAAGGAACTTCAAACATTTTGTTCCTGAAAGCAATTGGCATTCAGCTGGAGATAAGCGCCTCCGGCTGTCAGAGCCATAATTTGTATTTAGCGGAGAGAGAACGGAGCCGTTAGACAGAAACATCTTGTGATGGTGGGAGGGCTTTTTTCTTTTTCTGTTTAAAAAAAAACCTCAACACTTTCTAGCCTGACTTGCACTCCCTGAGAGCCTCCAATTAGATGTTGCAGTAAGCCAGGAACTCAGGGCTCTCTCGCTGCATCGCGCGGGGGCTGAGGCCATGCCCGTGCCTATACTAAGGCATGGAAAACCCAGTGGCTGTAATTCATCCCCCAGTCACCCCTGGGGACGCAGCCACCCAGGGAGCAGCCAGGGCAGCTGATAGGGCTGCTCCTCCGGCAAAAGCTAGCAAGTCCCATGCCTCTCCACAGATGTTTCCCACTGCTCCTCAACTTTTGGTTATCTGACAGCAAACACTTGACACCCCAAACCTCAGGGTCTGGCCTGGCCCCTCTCACACTCAGTGCTGATCCTGCTTCTCCCAGGTGCTGCCCTAGCAGACCTGCACCCTCACTGCCCACATATTTCTCCCTGCTACAGTCCAGGTTTCATCCTATATTTGCTCCAAACACATCTGAGCCACCTCAACCCACTGTGGCCCTCCAGGAGATGGATTTTGGCATGGGGTGTGAGCCTTGGCCCTTTTCTTCACCATCATACATGCTACCAGATGTTCTTCCCATCCTTACTCTATTCATGAGCTCCCATTGGAGGTCACACAGGGATCCCCCAACCACCACAGCTCAATCAAGCGTGGCTGTGCTCCACTAAGATCCATGCTTGGGTGCTGCTCTAAGAATCTGGCATCCAACACTTGCCTTGGGCCATGCCTTGGGCAATGACCACCTGCAGGAGCTTGGAAATTGGTCCTACATTTGGCCACCTCCATTCAAGCCATCAACTTCTGCTCTTTTTCGCTCCAGCCATGGAGGAGAAGCTTTGCCATAGATGGGAAGGGGGGTTAAGGCCACCCCTGAAGGACACAGTGAAGGAAGAGGAGGGCATCTGCAAACACTGTACAACATCTCAGGCACAGAAGAGGTGGGAGGAGGTCCCTGGGGGCATAAAGAGTATCTGACAGCATCTCCTGTGGCAGCTCCCGGATGCCAGCACATTTCTATACCAGATCCTGCATGCAGAGATGCCAGCAGCACGCAGACCATGCAGGTGCTGGGAGATGCTCTGCCCCCAGTCCACATTCACCTCCCCATTTACACTCTCTAAGTGGTGGGGAAGCTTCAGGAGACCCTGGGGTGAGCAACCAGCAGGAGCCAAGAGGTATCCTGTCCATTCTCCACGCCAAGGATCACTCCAACACCCCACTTCCCCACACCAGCCTCCAGTGGAGGGCAGGGGCTCCCTGAGACTAGTACTGGGACGACAATTTGTCCCTGTCTGGATGTTGCCAACCCTCCCACAGCAAGAGCAAACCAAGCACTGCTAAAGACAACCCCATCACACCCTAGCTCCAGCAACACAGAGCTGACAAACCTTCAACTGTCACTGCCCAGGAACCACAGTGTCTGGCTCTGACCCCACACAGCCCAACCTGACAGCACCACTGGGACACCCTCATCTGGCCAAAACCCCACAGCGCTTCCCAAGAAAACACATCCCAAAACCGCAAAATGATGTCGTTACTCACAAGATCTCTGGTCTTGCCCACCAAGAGGTCTTTGGCCAGGGTGGGGATGCCTGATGAGGATTTCTGACCTGACCAAGGACCCCTTCGTCTGGCCGGACATGGGGAAGGGAATTTCTGTATCAAAATGCATCCCGGTGCCGCGGTTTACCGTGCCAGAGAGGACCAGGTGCCGGTGGGTGACCCGGTGGGTTACAGCACGCTCCCGAGGCTCAGCTCACATGCACAATGGTGGTAAAACACGACTCTGTCCCCGCAGAGCCTCCCTCCTTCCCTCCCACCTCTCTGGGATCAGCTGCGCCTTGCCACCGATCCTCTCCCCCTTCTGCTCAGTCATCCTCTCCTGACTTCCCATTAACCCCCTCGGGAGTGCTGGGGGGTTTCAGGCAGGCAAAGGCATTCCTGTATCACCCCTGCAAATCAGATGTCCCCAGATAAGCCTTGGCCACCCTGCCTTGGTGAAAACCACAGGTATTCCCCTGATCTGCCGAGTCAGCCCAGCCTCCATCCTCCTCTTGCAACCACACCAAAAGAAAAAAAAAAAAAAATTAAATAAAGAATAAATCTTTGTTCCAGCCCCGCACATGACATCAGCCCGAGCAACCGCTGGGCTAGCGCGCCAGCTGAATAGCGATCGTTTGACATAATCCCTCTGCTCAGCAGTCATCTAAGGGAACAAACCCACCCTGGCAACGGCACAAGGTTTTTTTGTTCCATCTCAGGGTGCAAGGTCACCGCGGGATGCCAGGGACAGGCACTGATGGTTTAACGAGGACACAAGGTCGAGAGGCGGAAACCCACTTACCGAAACTTTACGAACACATTCATAGTCCAAGCTGTCATTTTTAAAGGCTCTAGTTTTATTTTAAACATCGCGGCTGTCCGCAAGCGGCGGCAGGTGCTGTGTGCCCGGCCGGGAGGCGCTGGAGGGGGGGAGGAGGGTGGCGGGCCAAAAGGTGCTGGCTCGCGCCGAGGATGCCGCCGCCGCCAAGGGATGCTCTGCTGGCGAATCCCCCCCTCCACCTCCCCCGGCACACCCAAAGGGCAGCTTTTCGCCAGCCCGGCAGCCGTGGTTGGCTCTGACCTCGCTCCCAGGATGGCTACGAAAGGGCTCCTCCGCTCGACGCGGTGCCGCCGGGGAGCTGCCGTCCTTTGTGTGCTTTCCAGCCGCGCACGGAGAGACCCTTCAATGGAGTCACTCGCCGTGCAGTAATTTTCCTTTTAATTGGTTTCTTGACGCTTTCTCGTTAAACCGACAGATTAAGACACTTCTGCTTAATCCATCAGTTTCAGCATTCCTCTTCTCCACTGCCACAAGGCACCCAGCCACCTGGTACCGTCACGTCCCCCACGCAGCCCTCTCCAAGGAGCGCAGGGAGCGCAGCCAGGAGCCCCTCGGTGTCCCCAGAAACGACTCTGCTGACGCCCAGGGCTGAGCACCCGCCAGGCGAATCGGGTAGGGAGAAAAGTAGGGCGGCGTTGATATGGAAAAAAGTCACGTTAACCAATGTGAACCTCCCCAGCTTTTCCCGTTCGGATGCATGGGGGTCCCTGTGTCCCCCTCACCGGACGCCAGCACCGGCCCCCCGGCAGAAGGGAGCTGAGTGCCGCATTCCCGCCCGGCGGCCGGGGCTTCCCGTGGCGGCAGGGCAGCGGGACGGGGACGGTGCGTCCCCCGAGCCCACGGCGCAAAACCTACTTCTGAGAAGTCACCTTCAGGCACGCCAAGGAAAGCTAATGCCACCGCGTCCCCTCATCTGTCACCGTCACTCGCAGGCCACGGAGAGCATCCTCTCCAGAAGCGCTACACCGAAACTAGGCAGCCGTACTGGGGATATCACCAGGTAGATCCTGCGTCCCACCCGCGGCAAGCGAAACAGCCGGGCGGGCGATACATCCCGCTGTGTCCCCAGGGGCTGGAGTCCCGCTGGGCTCCGAGCCGGGTGGGTCCGGCGAGGTGCCGAGGCAGCGCATACCTCTCGGCGCGGCTCCAGAAGAGCAGGATTGCCGGCATGGTAGCGTATCCCGGGCTCAGTCAGGGAGCTGCTGGGGATCTTGTCGCGCCGGGGCAGGCAGAGCCACCCGTGCCCGTGCTGGATGGCAGTCGCAGGCAACCAGGCAGCAATGTCATGACTACCCGCAATGAATCATCCCCTCCCCGAGCCCCCACACGCACCGCCCGCCTCCCCCTCCCCACCGACAGCCCCACTGGGGTGCCAGCACCTGCGTGGGGACGGGGTTAACCCTCCCCTCGCTGCCTCTGCCAGCACAGCCCCCGCTGCCAGCCCCGCCGGCGGCCGCCTCCTGCGTGGGCACGGACCAGGACCCCCGCTCAGAAGTTCCCCAGAGAGGGTCCCATATCTTCACAGCCACGAATTGCTGTCTCCTGCGTGGGGATGGTGTCAAGTACCACTTGCGATCACCCCCGACAGGGTCCCTCATTTTACAGACCGATCTGGTGCTGGCTCTTGGGTGCAGATGGGGTCACGCTCCTCACAGCGTCTTCCCAAGTAGGTTACCCTCTTTCCAGCCACACTTGGCTGCTCACGGTTGTGTGGACGTAGGATCAAGCCCCCCCTGCTGCCTCCCCGTGTAGGGTACCCCATTTCCAGACTCGTCGGAATGCTCACAGTGGCATGGGGATGGCGTTGGACCTCCACCCCCACTGCACAGATCGCCACCCCATGCCCCCTGCCCCCCTCTCACTGTCGGGCTAAGAACTTAAGCTCAGAAGCACTATCGATTTTAGGGGCTGTCATACACACAGGAGTTCACTCATACATTGTGCCCCAGTGCAAAGACCCACAGGGGTCCCGGGGTGACCCCTTTCGATGATCAAGACCCACTGGGACCCGCTGTCTGACTCAAGAGGAAAGCAAGTTAACCCTTTCCTCCTGGTCAGCCCTTCCGGAAGACACTTTCACCTCGACTGGGGACAGAGGTTAACCCTTTCCATGCTGGTCCCTCGTGTTACTGCCCCTGGGTAGGAGGTTACCAACTTTGGCACCAGCCAGTTCAGCCCCACTGGAATACAAAAGTACCCCCAGTATGGTGGTGGAGGGGTGCTGACCCCTTCCAGGCCATACCATATAGCTCAAAGAGAGCACATTTATTCCCTCCAAAGTGAAATAGGAGAGAAATTCCTCTCCACCTCCACAGGGTTCTACTGCAGCCCCATGGCAGGGGTGTTACTCTCTCTCTCCCTACCCCACTTGGATGCATTATCTCTGTTATGAGGCAGTGGGGATTAACCCCTTCCTGACACACTCTTCAGACCTACAGGGACACGTGGTCACCGGGTAGGGCAGCCCAGTTAACCCTGACCCACAGTCCCACCATGACACCCTGACACCCCATAGGAGCCAGAGACGACAACTCCCCCACCTTCAGCCCCATAGAGACTCCATGTCACCCCATGGTGACAGGACAGGGTGGGTAGCCTGTGTTCCCCACACACAAAGGGGCAAAGCAATTAAGCTCCCAGATCCACAGCTAAACCCTGTCACCCTTAGGGGCAGAGAGGCCAATCCTGTCAGCCCCTGGGTACACTCTGCCACTTCATAAAGCAGAGGTTTAAACCCCCATATCAGGACAGACTGTCACCCCACAGGTGGAGTGGGGCAAGCACCCCTTCCCAGTCCTACAAGGGACGTGCTGTCACCTCATGGGCAGAGGGGTCAATCACCTTCAGCCCCACTGTGACATTCTGTCACCCCTTCGGGCCGAGGGACTGCCCACTTCAGCCTCGGGGTCACTCTTGGGGCAGAGGCACTGACCCTCTCCAGCTCCATAGTGATATTCTACCACGCCACAGTAAAGGGGGACTGGCGACCCCCAGCTTCGCGGCAACAACTTGTCACCGCACGGCGCAGAGGACTGACCCACTCCCACAGCAACCCCGTGTCCCCCCTTGGGCAGGGGGGCTGGCAGACAGCGACCCCTTGGTAATCCCGAGACAGGGGGGCTGGCAGACAGCGACCCCTTGTTAATCCCGAGACAGGGGGGCTGGCAGACAGCGACCCCTTGTTAATCCCGAGACAGGGGGGCTGGCAGACAGCGACCCCTTGTTAATCCCGAGACAGGGGGGCTGGCAGACAGCGACCCCTTGGTAATCCCGAGACAGGGGCGCTGCCCCCCACCCCCACAGTGACACTTTGTCACCCCCGAGGCACGGGGTAAGACCCGTGCGGGTCCCACTGGGGCGCCCTGTCACCCCTGGGGTGGGGGGCACTGACCCCCGCCCAGCCCCACGGCACACCTTGTCACCCCGCGGCGCAGAGTGACGGCCCAGCCCACAGTGACGCCCTGTTACCCGCCAGGGCGGGGTGACGTGACCCCCCCACCCCACAGCGAGCAGCTGCGCTCTGTGGGGCACAGGGACTGACTCCTCCCAGCCCCACGGCGACAACTCGTCACCCCAGGGCAGTCCCGCCTGGCAGCGGCACCCTGTCGCCCCAGGGCCGCGGTGCCAGCCCGCGGTGGCGCGGCCGGGGCCGCTGTGGGGTGCGGGGGCGGCGCGGCCCCCCCGGCACTCACCGCTCCCGCTGTCCCGGGGCGCCGCGCGCTCGCTGGGCCGCCCCCGCCCCCGCCCCCCGCCCGCCACGTCAGGGGAGTCCCTCCCGCGCGCGCCACGCCCCCGTCGGCACGGGGGGCGGGGCTGACCATCGCCGCGCCGCGCTGATTGGCCGGCCCTTAAAGAGAGGCGGGGCAAAGGCGGCACCCCAGCGCTCCTCTGCCCGCCTCTCCCCCCCTCGCCTCCCGGTCGCCGCCTTCCATTGGCCAGTTCAAGCCAGCACCGCCCTTTCGGCGCTCGCTGATTGGTCGGCCGCTCGCTCGCAGCGGCGGGATCCCCGGGGTGAATCTTCTGGAAAAGCGTGACGTCAGCGAGGAGCCGCGCCTCAGGCCGTTGGTACGCGCGCCTCCCCCGCCGCCCGCGGCCCGGGGGCTGGGGAGCGGGGCCGTGACCCGGGCCCAGGCCGGCGCTGCGCCGTGGGCGTTCGCACAGCGCCGGGCACCCCGCACGCTGCCGGAGGCTGCGGCTGCGCAGGGCAAGGGCCCCATCCCCCATGGCCTGGTAGGCCGCCAGGACCCCGCGCAGGCAGGGCTGTGGTGGTGCAGAATCCCTGAGTGAATGAGGTTGGAAAAGACCCCTCAGCTCAAGTCCAACCTATGATCGGACTCCACCCTATCAACCAGACCGCGGCCTGCCGTCTTAGAAATACCTTCAGGGATGGCCATTCCACCACCGCCCTGAGCAGCCCATTCCAATGCCCAGTCACTCCTTCTGTGACGAAATTCTTCCTAATGTCCAATGAAGACCTCTCCTGGTGCAGGTTGAGGCTTTGTCCTCTTGTCCTGTCAGTTGTTCCCAGAGAGGAGATTGACCCCCACCTGGCTACGCCCTCCTGTCAGGTTCTTATAGAGAGTGATAAGGCTCTCCTTCGAGCCTCCTCCAGGCTAAACATCCTGCCTCAGCTCCCTCAGCTGCTCCTCATCAGACCCAGAGGCTTCCCTTGTTCCATTGACCTCATCTGCTGAAGGAGGTTCAAGGTCCTGGAAGCACTTGAGGCAGGGGTGGGAATTGTGAGGAGAAGGTGTCTGGAAGGTACTGGAGCAGCGGGGCCGTGCTGTGGGAATGCAGGACAATGCAGGCATCTTGAGAGCCCTGCCTGCATAAGATGTGCCCAGCTCCATGTGGGACTGGTGGGGACAGGAGGGACAGCAAGTCTGTGAGGAGCTTAAAAAGGACATTGCGGTGCTGGAGTGAGTCCAGAGAAGGGCAGTGGAGCAAGTGAAGGGTCTGGACCACATGTCCTGTGACAACTGACTGAGGGAGCTGGGAGTGTTTGCAGAAAATGAGGCTCGGGGGCACCTTATCACTCTGCAATTCCCAGATATAAGGTTATAGCCAGATGGGGGTTGATCTCCCAGGCAGCCAGGGACTGGAGAGGAGGACAAAGCCTCAGGCTGTGCCAGAGGATGTTTAGGTTGGACATTAGGAAGCATTTCTTCACAGAAGAGGTGATTAGACATTGGAATGGACTTAACCTATCAGTGGACTCCAGGTGATGGAGTCAATTGCCCTGGAGCTGTTTAAGAAGAGATTAGATGTGGCAGTTGGTCCATGATCTGCCTTACAGGGTAGAGTTTGGTCATAGGTTGGACTTGATGAGCTCAAAGGTCTTTCCCAGCCTAATTGGTTCTGTGATTCTGTGGGGCACTCTGAGGTGTCCGACGGGGTGATGGGTGAGCATCCCAGGAACAATGCCATAACCAGATCAAACACCCAATGTGATGGGGGCAGGGTCCTTATGCAACAGAAGATGGCTGAGACTCTTTAGACATGTAAGGTTGTGAGGCCTGACATTATGCTATGTCTTCTATTATGCTATGCTATTCTATGCTATGGAAAAGCCACTGCAATCCAAAGCCCTGGTCCAGTGGGAGGCTCAGTGTCTGTATTTAAAACAGCTTCTGCTCTGACATCGATGCACCCCAGCTCCACAGCATCTGTGGCCAGCTAGCTGGGAAACTGGGTAGCTGAGCCACACATGCTGCCAGCACTGTCCTCTGCGAAGCCCTGCCACATGTCTCCTTCTGAGGTGGGGGTGTGTTTGGGCTTTTGCCATGTGAGTCTCTCCCTTGAACTTTCCAGCATTCCGGCGTCGTTTAGACTGGTAACAAGGCGGCTCCTGGTTGGAGGAACTGTCTGGACCCAGTGACCTGGATTTTGTCCTGGAAATCTGCCTGTCTTGAGAAGAAAACCCACATCCTGATGCTGTCGAGTTAGTGCGGAACATGGGGACAGCATCCTGCCTGCACACCTGTCCATAGACTGTGAGGGGGGAAGCATCTGGTCGTGCAGGTGCTGCAGCTCGTGGGTGGAGCTGAGCTCGTGGGTGGAGCTGAGCGCTGCTGTGAGTGGCTGGGGCTGTTAAGATGTTTGTCCTTTTGTAACCTCTGTGTGCTTCCTCACTGATGCAGTGTTTGAAAAGGCCGCTTTCAGTTCGCATCTCGCCCGTCCCTTGTGGTTTGGTCACAGCATCGGTCTTTCTGTCCTGCCTCGGCCGGGGTGTTCGACTCTCCGGAGTCCCCTGCTATGGTGTGCGCAGACACCTGGGCTCGTTTCCCACCATGGCCTGTCCGTGGGGCCCCTCTGAGCTGGGAGAGTCGGATTTGCCTCCGCTCAGCCCGTGGAGCGGCTGAGTCATCGCGGTACGGACCCAGCACTTGCTGCAGCCCGTCTGTTCTGCTGCGCTTTGTTCGGTGGCCCCGGCCCCGCGGCGGGGGGGTCGTGCTGCGAGTCCCGCGCCGTGCCCATGCCCTGGCCTTGCAAATGCTTTTTGTTCTGGCTTTTCATCGCCGGGAGCACTGGAGGCCCCGGGGTGGGGGAGCCGGTGCTGGCCGTCCCCGTGCTCACAAATGATCTGCTTGGTGTGCAGCCTGCCCGGGGACAAACAAGGGCTATGGGCCAGGGGCTGGCTGCGGCCCCGCTGGGCAGGAGCGGGGTCAGGGCAGACCACAGCCTCCCCTCCTGGGGGCACAGGGTGTTTTAACCAAAACCGCGCCTCCTTCGCAGCCCGTCCCCCTAGCTGGCAAATCCGCACCCGTTTAAAGACACGCCGGGAAAATGCAGGGAGGGGTGGCAGGAATAATTAAAGGTACGAAGCCGTTTCCATAGATGGAACAATTACATAAACTGGCTCTCTTCCGTCTGGGGGAAGAGATGACTGAGGGAGGCATGATGGGGAATAATAAAATCCTGTGTGGTGGGGGGAAGGAAGGTGAGCAGGGAAGGGTTGCTTGAGTTCCTATAATTGGGCATCTTGTGTCAGAATATGCAGTGACATTTACAGGACATGAAGACATTTCCTGAAGCAGTTTGGGATTAAGCTGTGGAAATGGTGGCCTTAGGTGAAGTGGTAGAGGGAGGATACAGGAAAATTATTTGGGATCAGAAGGCAATTGAGTAAATTCCTGGAAAGAGAAATCCACGAGGGCTGATGAGCCCACTGATGTTGGTTCTGGTGCAGGAAAACCCCAGACTACAGGTGCGAGAGCCTGCTGTGTTCACCTGGAGCTTCAGCTTTTCCTGGTACTTTGTGCCTCACCTCCAGAGGTGATGGAGAGGTAGAAAACCACACTCCAGGCTGTTTTGCTGTTAAAACATCATTACCTGGTGTCTGAAGGTTGGAGCACAGGAGAAGGCCACTTAACTCTGCAACCACCTACCTGAATGCCATGCCACTGCAAGAAAGATCTTTCCCAGGTTGCTTCCACCTCCTTCTGGGTCTGGATCTCCCCATGTCTGAGCAGATGGGGCAGGAGCAAGGCATTGGCTCCTTGCTGCACTGGCTCCCTTGTCCTGCTCAGAATCCCCTCCTCAGTGCAGCACAGGGAACTATCCAGTGTCTGTGATTGGGTGAGGTGGGGAGATGCATCTGAGGACACTGGGCTTGGCAGCAGCAGGGTTTGCGCTCTGTTCTCCTCGGCAAGAGCAGCACCCACACATTTGGTGCTGTCTCTCCTTCTTGCCTGTTCCCATCCTCAGAGGTGTCGCCCGCCTTTTCCAGCACCCTGAGCTGCAGCAGGAGGAAAAGGCTGCAAGGAAAAAATCCATGCTTTTTTTTTTTTTTTTTTTTTTTTTTTTTTTTGTTTTTTTTTTTTTTTTTTTTTTTTTTTTTTTTGTGGGATTAATGCTCCATTTCCTTCCTGCTGTTGTCCTGGCTGTGGTCTGAGCTTGATGCATCTCTAAGGAGATGATGGTGGGTCACCTTCTAGGACAGACTAGGCTCTTATGTCCTACAGAAGCTGGTATCCATGCAGAGGAACCCTGCCTGGGAGACCTGGGAATTAGCATCCTTGGGATTCATCCAACCTCTGCCTTGTCCTCTGAGGAAACCACCAGCTCTCAGTCACCCTGGTTGTGTTGGTAGCCTCAGGATGTGGTGGGTTTATGTCTGCCTGGCTCTGAGCATGGGCTACACCAGATGGGAATGGTCCCCAGCAGTCTCGTGCTGCAAGCAGGATCAGCCCCAAGGTCAGCATGTGCTGCTTGGGGCTTTATCCAGGCTGACATTGCAAACCACCAAGGACAGTCGTTGCAGCACTAGAAGAGCTTGTTCCAGCAGCATCTTCTGTGTCCTTGTGCTGCTGTGTGTCAGAGTCTGACTGGCCTCCCAGGGCATGCAGAGGAAGGGGGTGGAAGCTACTCTCAGCCATAATGATGGTGTTTGGTTTTTCCTCCCTGGCTGGGGCTGAGGATGAGGATGGTGGCCGCTGTTTCCCCACTGCCAGCGCCGCCGGCGGCGGCAGCAGAGCCGGCCGCTCCGCTCGGCACTCCGCACCTGCGGGGGTGGCATAATGAGCCATGTCCTTGTCTCAACCTGCCGCTTCCTCTCCCGGCAGCGTCTGTGCTGCCAGCTGGGTTATTTTTTCTTTTTCATATTTTTTTTTTTCTTCTTCTTTTTTTCTCCTTTCTTTTTTGCCTTCCTGCCTCTATTCTTGAGTGGTTCCCAGCCGGTGTTGGCAGGCAGCCCTTGCTGGAGACCATCTCCCGGGCTGACCTTTGCCAACCCCCTCGGATGAGCACAATAGGGCTCTCCTGCCACTCACATTAGGTGCGCGGGTGAGACGTGAGCAGCTCTGAGTGGCAGTATGTGGGAGGACTGGGTCTTCTCCAGTCCCTTGCTGTCCCCACCTGTGCTCATGCTTTGCTGGAGGGGCCAAATCCTGAAGGCAGAGTGAGTGGGAGGAAAGGGCAGCATGGGGGATGCTGCAGTGTTTTTTCTGTGGTAAAGCTGGGGGGAAAGAAAGGTTTGACTAGGCAGATCCTGCCTTTGGACACCTTGGTTTGTCCTGACCTAGCCTGCTGTCTCCCTCACTGAACCACCATTGCAGAGGTCTAAACTGGGCATGCAGATTGTGTGGGCAGGGAAAGCCCCTCCTGGAGCCATTTCTTCCAGCCCTGTATCCAAGCAGTTGAAAGAAGGAAGGCAGTGTCCCCAACCCGGCTTGGCATGCTGGAATGTGGCAATTTGTCCCAAGTTGCTGCGGGAATCAGCAGCAAGCATGGGACTAGAATCTGGAGTGTCTTGACTCTGGTTGTGATACTACCCAGCCAGGCAGGATGATAATAAATGAGAGCCAGCAGTAGCCCCACAGCCCCTATCATCCTCCTTGCCTCTCACCTCTTCCACATCTTGACTTCCACATCTCCCTGGAAGGCCAGCTGTGCCAGGGAGCCCAAATTGCATCAGTCACCCCTGGGGACCCATCTGCATGTGGAGGATACATGCTGAAGTTTGGGTTGGCTTTGTTTCCAGCCTTTGCCCTGCTTTCATCATCAAAGTTGTCCTGCAGCATTTGGTTCCTCCTGGGCTTTTCTCTCCCAAGTTACATTTTGGCCAAGCTATTGGTTTCTCCTGGGAATGTCTGTCTCTCTCCAAGTTATATTTTGACCAAGTTGTTTCTGCTCTGAGTTTGGGTGTCAAGCACACTGAGCCGTTCTAGTCCATCCAGCTGCTCCATCATTTCAGAAATTTTAGCCCTGAAACATCCTTTCCAGGACAGAGGTGTCCCCAGGTGCTCCCAGCAGGTCTCTGAAAGTTACAGCTGGAAGTGGGTAGTGTCCAGGTTGGAATCAAACCCTGCTGCATCTATGGGAAGTGTGTCCATTGCAGATCTGACTGGCATTTAATTCTTGGCATGCCAAATGAGCTGTGAGAAGTTCATCGGGACAGAAAGTGGTGCCCAGCTGCCTGCTATAGGAATCTTCATATCTCTGTGGGGCTACCAAATGTGTGACCTCTAGAATAAAAATAAAAATATCTCAGGGATTGTCTGCAAGGAGAGTTTCCTGAAAGAACAGGCTAGCTTGCCTTTATTTTGGTCTTGTCTATTCTCTATTACCTACCAAACCTTCTTCCTTGGGTCTGCCCTGGCCCCATGGCAGATGGTGCTCAGAGGGATGCAGGTGATGTTTTTCTGAGGGCAGAAGATTCCACTGGTGGTGCAGTGGTAGTGGTCTGGTTCCCTGTGTACCCTTAGCCTGTAACTCAAATCTCTCTGATTTTGCTGTGTCCTTAGTATCCCATCTTCTTATGGATAGTTGGCAGGTAAAGATCTAACCCTGTGCAGAGGAGAAAGGCCAGGGTTAAGATTCCCAAGAACTTCCTCAGGTGTGCTGGAGGATGCTGAGGTGGCCCTGTCTTTTCTTCAAAAGTAAAAGCAGACATGTGGAGCTTCCTGACTCTAGGCATCTTGACTCAGTCTCAGGGGGGTTTTGTGCCTCTCAGTCCTTGGACTTGCTGTATAGCATTGTGCTGGTCATGTGATGGCTCTGCAGATCTCCAGGTCAATGTCTGCTCCTGGCAGGGAACAGTCTTGCCGAGAGCTTTGCATCAGGAACCCGAGACACCAGCCAGTGTTGATGCTGAAATAGGAGGGGATACAGTAGTGAGTGAGCTGAGGCTGCTGGCAGGGGCTGGCTGAGCATCTAATGGTTTTGCTGGAGGCTGTAGCAAGGAGGCTTTTCCTCTCTGCCTGTTTCTTGCTTGGAGACACAGGATGGGCAGATGGGGCAGGGTGTGGAGGCAGTGTATGAAATGGGGCTTGGTTAACAGTGTGTTATAGGTCACCATCTGCAAGTCAAGGAGCTTTCTCATGTCCTTCTGATTCAGAGGGTAATCGTTTGGGGTTTCAGTTGGATCTGGTCTCCCTGGGTGCCTATCATGAGGTATCTGAGCACAGTCATCCTCTCCTGCTTGGCGGACATGTCTGTAGTGGCTTCTCTCTGCATGTGTTTTTGTTGGATGCATTGCTCTGCTCCTTGAGGAAAGGAGATTGGTCTTGTCCAGGTGGCCTTTAAGGTATCAACTAGCTTCCACACTTGCTTAGCTTGGAATGGGACTCCTGCTCATCACCTCCATCACTCAGGTTTGGTGGCAGAACCTGGAGCTGTGCTTGTCCCACTTTATAACACAGACGTGAGAGGACTCCCCAAGAACAGA